GAGCGTACATTATAATGTGAACTATTTATGACTACTGTCACTAACATGTAACACCCGTCCACGTGAATTAAAGTTTCTTAATTATTTCAATGTGTGGAGCCTACATAATATCAATTGTTAGTTATTTAACGTTTTCCACCTACTTTTTTTCCTTTTCCATTATAGCTGATTCATCTCCTTTTGTTTAGAACTAATTAAATGTTTTCGTAATAAAGATGATAGAATTTTTGTTGACCAATAACAGAGTGACATATATGTTAGCAGTTTGAAATCCTGTTTTACTAAATAAAATAATAAATTTAAATATTTAATGAAAATTGGATTACTTATATGTATCACGACTATTGTGTAAATGTGCATTTCCCATAAAGCACATTTAAACTCAAAATTTACTATAGATATTATATATCATTGATTTATAGCTCAATTATTACAATAGTTTATATATATATATATATATATATATATATATATATATATTATTTAGTGCCAAATGAAAGATCATAAAATTTTACGATTTTTATATATGTTTTGTTAAATTTGGAGTGATGCACTGAGTAAGTTGATTGGATTAAAATGAATAACAGTGATGCATCGAGTGAATAGTAGTGATACACCGAGTGAATAGCAGTGATGCACTCAGTGCACTTAGATTAATTAAATGATTCATTAGTGGTGATAATGAAATTTTTATTAACCAATATAAGACTCACACATCATTGATTCATACTTCAGTTTTATTATATAAAAATAATAATTTTTTTTATTTTTATACATGCAATATTGGTTTAATATAAAAGATTACAAAACTTATGAATTGTGATACATTTCTTATAAAATTTGGAGTACAAAAAAGAAGAAAAAATCTCCTCCCCTTTTTCTAAATAAGTTGACGTGATTAAAGTGAAACAATGATGAACCGAGTAAATAGCAGTGAAGCACCAAGTGAACTTAAATTAATTAAATGTTACAATAGTAGTGATAACAAAATTTATTAACTAATAAGAAACAGACACATTATTGATTTATAACTATGAAATTTATTAACTAATAAGAAACAGACACATTACTAATATATATGCAATATTGATGGCATATGACAGATCAATGAGTTTTGATATAATTTTCATAAAAATTGGAGTACAAATAAAAAGTTATAGCACGTTAAAAGATATTTTCTCTTTCACTTTTTCCAAATGAGTTGAAATGAGTTGGCGTGATTAATATGAACAGCAACACTTATGCACCAAGTGAATAGCAGAGATGCACCGAGTGGTCTTGGATTAATTAAATATTTTAGTAGTAACGATTATAAATCTTTTATTAACCAATAAGAGACTAACACGTCATTGATTTTTAACCCAAATGTATTGTATAAAATAATTATTTAATTTTATATATGCAATATTGGTGTCATATGAAAGATAATAGAATGTTATAAATTTTGATATATTTTCTGTAAAAATTGGAGTGAAAATAAATAAGTTTTAATACATTTAAAAAAAATTCTTTTTCTTCTTCATTTTCTCCAAATGAGCAGTGATACATGTATTGAATAGCAATGATGAACAAAGTCAGCTTATATGAATTAAATATTTTAATAGTAGTGATAATAGAATTGATGGAGTATATGGGTCTGAGCCCCCGGACCCACATACTCAGAAGAACAGAGCACAAGACACTAAGTGGCGCCCTCGTCGGCCAAGGGACCCCCGTCGGCCGGAAAGGTACCAACTCAGAATATGGCCCCGAATCCAAGGAACCCGGGTGCCCGCGTCGGCCGCGCCCTCGTCGGCCGTGCCCTCGTCGGCCACGCCCTCGTCGGCCACGAAGACCTCACAGAACCGGATTTTACACTTACTCATTTGTACAGCCCATTAGTGGTTTTGTATTCGGCCCAGTAGCGGTCCAGTTGTAAATGGGCATCCCAAGCCCAAGGCTTGGGAGCCCAGCCCGTATTTTCTCTATAAATACTCCCCTTGGGAGTAGTTATAGGGGTTACAAATTCATTCTATTGAAGCATATTATTGCACTTCTCTCTCTAGCTCTCACTTCTCTCTAGATATACTCTATCATTTGGTGCTTTCATTGAGAGATAGAACAATCAAGTTAGCACCCTTCGTCGCTACCAAGCACAGCTAACCACTGATCATGGGAAGAACTAAATCAAACCGCAACCTCGTCAGCAAGGCCATCCCTGAGGACCAAGAGCCCAGGGAGCACGATGAGGACGCCACGGCCGACCAGGTCGGCGGGGGGGGATGTCTTCCAGGAGGCCTTCAACCTCACGACGGACCTCCGCAACCAACTCAACGGCGGAGCCCCTGACGCCCGCATCGGCTTGGACAAGAAACGAGCTGAGAAGACGGACCACGCCCCGGCCCAGCCTATGGTCGCGGCCTCTCCGTCCGTGGATCCACAGGTCCAGGCCGCGCTGTCGGTCATCATCGCCAGCCTGGCTCAGAGCCCCACCGTCCTCAGCGCACTCTTGCCAAGGACCGGGGGGAACGTCACTCCACCTCCTCAGCCCCAACCGTTGGCCGTCCAGATAGGCAACGATGAGGGGGTGGTAGCCCAGGACACGGCGTCGTCCCACTCCCACCCTGCTTCCCCTCTTCGGCCTGGGCAGACCCCAGCGCGTGGAAAAGCCTCTGCCTTCAACAGGCTAGGCGACACGCGCCGTCGTCCGGTTTCGGAGAGAATGGCAGGACAGATTGGTGAGCCTCGTCCTGGCTCGCCGAGGGAAAGCTTGGGGTCTGTGTCCCGGACAGCGGACCAGCCCCGCCCGGACAAGGGCAAGGGGAAGTTGCACGAAGACGACGTGCGCCACCGGATCAATGCGGCTCACGACGAGCGCATGAGGAACCAGCCGGGCGCCGCTGCGGCCGTCAGGGACCCCCGGGATGAAGTCATCGCCCAGCTGGAAAGGAGGCTGGCTCAGATGGAGGCCAAGCAGTCGGCCAACATCCCTACGGCCGGCGCCTCCAACGACCCCGGCCTCAACGCGCTCATGAACAAGGTTAGCGCCCTGGAGAGGGAGCTGGCCGAGGGGCGGGGTGACCCCATCATCCAGGTCAGGACCAGGACCCCTTTCACCAACAGGGTCCTCTCGGCCCCCATCCCGGAGAAGTACAGGGGAAACGCCATCAAGTCCTATGACGGCCGATCAGACCCCCAGGAACACTTCAGCCGTTATCATAACAACATGCTGATGGTGAATGCGTCAGACGAGTACCTCTGCCGTTGGTTCCTCTCTACCCTCGAGGGGCCAGCGTACGAGTGGTTCAACGCGCTCCCCGAAGGGAGCATCGACTCATGGCAGGATCTCGCCCAACGCTTCCTCACTCACTTTGCCGGGAGGAAGCGTGCGAAGAAGTATTTCACCCACCTCCTCTCCGTCAAGCAGCAGCACGAGGAGTCCCTCCGGTCATTCATTGATCGGTGGACGAGAGAAACCGAGGAAGTCGAGGGGGCCGATGAGCGCACCCTCCTCGCCTTGTATTAGGGAGCCCTCCGCAGCTCCCCGTACGCTAGGAGCCTTATCACCGACCCTCCGAGGTCGTACGCCAAGGCGCTCGAAGGCTCTCTCTCAGCCAGTTGTTGAACAGTCACTAGACTTTGTTTTATAGTTCTACTCTGGTCATTCCATTTTATGTGGCAGAAGGGTGTTGATCTTCGGGTGGAGATGAAGTAGCAGACCTTCATCCAACAAACACCTTTTGAGGATGAACAAGGATGGGTCGGTCATTTGCTTCTAAAGATGAATAGGGAGGGGCCAGAAATAAACCGACGTGGAAGATGAAAACAAATGAAAGAAAGAGAAATAAGGAAAGAAAATAAAAAGGGAAAATATTTCTAAATTGAAACCCTATAGAAATAGGACACGTGTTTAGGTGACCTATTAAATATGTTTATGCAGGTCACTAGTTTGTTTTTAGAAGATACCTCTTATAGTTTAGATTATATCGGAATAACTGATATTTGGGATTAATAATGGAAGACCACGAATAATTGAGATTATTTATGTGAATTTTTCCAAATTAATATTGTATGTTTACACTTTCAGTAAAAATGGGTTATTAATGAAATAAATTCCACAAAACGCTTGGGATTTGAGACATTATTATACATCAGAGGCTTCCTTTATATGAGTATGTTAAGAATGTGTATTTACGTACTCCGCTATTTATCTATCATGTGGATTAGAAAATCTTTTAATGCATACTTTGACATTTGACGTGATTAGAAATGTGATGTTGGTGATTCAAACAAAAAAGGTTAATTTTAAAATTTATTTCCTTAAATAAAATAATGTTAGTTAAGATCTCTCGAAGAAGCTTGCTACTTATGATGCGTGTATTTGTATAAATACATTACAGTTGTCTGGCTCATCTCTACATGATCATTTGTCTCCTATGAAGTTAATAAGGGTGCTTTGCTTTGTATACCCTCTCAATTCTTTTCTTCCATAGCAGGGGAAAACACACTTTTGATCTTCAATTCATATTCAAATTAAATGATCTAACATGACAAAACTAATTGAGTATGTTTCAATGATATTATCAGGAAATTGGACAACTGGAGATCACATTTATAAAGATAAAAAAAACAAAGGTTGACATTTCAATTTGGATACAAACTATGGATATGAAATTTCCCCTTATAATACTTCGTATTATTATGAGCAATATTAGCATTAATTGAACTATACTTATGGATGTACTACCTCTTTCCCTTAAAACTTTGTCAAAGTTGATCGGCACGAAGAATAATAAAGTAAAAACTGTGTGATTGAGGTTTGTGCAGATGAGAGAGAAATAACAGAAACCACAAAATAATTGATTAAAAAGAAAAGTGACAACGTTTTTTAGAACATCGTAAAAAAGAAAGATAACCGACTTTATTTTTAGTCAAACCCAATTTAGAAGTTGAACCGGTCATAATCGTTGACAAAATAAAAGGTAGAAGGCTACCATCTTTGAAAATTCCTAACCGGCTTCCTTTTTTCCGCGTACAAATAACAAACCTATCCAAACACTACTGCGTATAAATAATTGGACCATCCGCCTACTTCCTTCAATTCAATCATCCGACAGCAATGGCGGCTTCATCCTCCATTGTTGAGCTCCTCGCTTTCTCAATCCTTCTCTTCCTCTGTTCTTCATCTTCGGCCCAATCCTTTCGCCCTAAAGCTCTAGTGGCCCCTGTCACTAAAGACGCCTCCACTCTTCAATACCTTACCAGAATCAACCAGAGGTCACCGCTTGTGCCTGTCAACCTCGTCCTTCATCTCGGCGGCGAGATCTTGTGGGTTGACTGCGACGGGAAATACGTCTCCTCTTCTTACCGCCCGGTAAGGTGCCGGTCCGCCCAGTGCTCCCTCGCTCGGTCCATCGCCTGCGGAGATTGCTACTCTGCTCCTCGCCCTGGCTGTAACAATAACACCTGCGGCACCTTTCCTTATAATCCCATCTCCCTCACCTCCACCAGCGGCGAACTTGCAGAGGACGTCGTTTCCGTCGCTTCCACCGACGGGTCGACTCCGGGAAGGCCCGCCGCGGTGTCCCGATTCCTCTTCACTTGCGCTCCAGCTTTTCTGCTGAAGGGTCTGGCGAAAGGCGCAACTGGAATTGCGGGTCTGGGTCGGGCAAAGGTCGGGATTCCTTCACAGTTCTCCTCTGGTTTCAGCTTCCGCCGGAAATTCGCCATTTGTCTGACTTCATCGACCGGCGTTGTCTTCTACGGCGACGGGCCGTATAATTTTCTCCCCAACGTCGATGCATCAAAGCTCCTGACGTACACTCCGCTGTTGATCAACCCAGTGAGTAACGCCGGAGCTTCATCTGCGGGGCAACCGTCGTCGGAGTACTTCATCGGTGTCAAATCGATCCAAATTGGAGACAAAGAAGTGAAGCTTAACACGTCGTTGTTGACAATTGATGCCGATGGAAAGGGAGGAACAAAGATCAGCACCGTCAATCCTTACACGGTGATGGAAACCTCCATCTTCAAAGCGGTGACGGCGGCGTTCGTGAAGGAGGCCGCCGCGAGGAACATTACCAGAACAGCAGCGCCGGTGTCACCTTTCGAGGTTTGTTTCGGTGCAGAGAACATTCTCAGCACGCGTGTGGGGCCATCGGTGCCGTGGATCACTCTGGTTCTGGGAGGGCAGGGTGCGAAGTGGACGATCACGGGGGCAAATTCAATGGTGGACCTGCGGGATTCCGGGAAGAATGTGCTGTGCCTGGCGGTGTTGGACGGAGGCCGGAACCCTGGGGCTTCAATCGTCATCGGCGGTTACCAAATGGAAGACAATCTTTTGCAGTTCGACTTGGAAGGTTCGAGATTGGGGTTCAGCTCCACACTGTTAGGAAGGCAGACCAACTGCGCCAATTTCAATTTTACATCTTCAGCTTAAAAAAATAAAATCAACCATTTTATAACACTACAATAATGGCATTTTTACACAGCAACGAATGTCAATTTTGCATCCTCCATCAGCTTAATAATGTCATCTTAAATCTCCGATAATCACTTATTACAATTCTATTTGAGCCCCTTTGGTAACATTAAAATTGGTTGAATTGGCTGATTCTGCTGAAATTTATGATGTTCTGGCTGAAGTGGCTGTATTGGCTGATTTTGCTGATTTATAAAAAAATTATGTTTAAAATATTTGTTATTAATAAATTAAACAAAAAATTATATGAAAAAATAGCAAAAATGATCCTCTACAGTAACTTCAGCCAATACAGCCATAAACGTAACTCTAACCTTACTTTTTCAGCTTATTACAAAATTCAACGCGCGAAATCAAAAGTTAAATGTTTGGTGAAAAAACTGGCTGATAAGCCTGATATGACGAAAAAAGAGGTCACCAAACGGGCTCTTTGTGTCCCTTTAGCTTTAATTTGCATGGTATACATTGAGTAATTTGCATCTTAAGTTTAATTTCATTTATTACTCTTAAATTTAGAACTCGTTTGATAACATTAAAATTAACCGAATCAGCTGATTTTGCTGAAACTGATTAAATTCTAGCTGAATTAGCTGAATACACTGAATTATGATAAAATTATACTAGTATGAAAAATATATTTTAGTAATAAAGTAAAAAAAAAATGAATATATTTGTGTTTAGGTTGTTGCAAAGTTATTTATTTGTTTTCCATTCCTGTAATTTATGTAATTATGTTAATTTTCATTCTAATCAATCAGTAATGATAACAACTTTTGTTTAACGACAAAACCAAATGGTAATCACATGTGTGTGGCTGAAACCATTGTCTATACCTATGTTTAAAAAATCGACCCAGACTAAAACCTCGTTCGGTTAATTAAAAACCCAGAAGTGATAAAAAACCGGAAAAATCCGATCGATCGGGAAATTTCGGTCTAGACCTGAACCCAAAAAACCCGACAAACCCGAAAAAAACACGCTTTTGCTTGTTTTTTTCAAAAAAAAATACTCCGTATGCTTTTATTTTAAAGTATTTTAAATTTATAAATTTTCAATTTCAATACCCTAAAAAAAATTATGCGATGTACTCTGTATTTATATACGAGTGCTACTTATTTGTTTAAGAATAAAATTATGTCAAATTATATAATAAGAGTAAAATAAAAATAACAAATTCAGAGTATCATTATATATTTAAATTAGCAAGATCAAAATAGTACTCCGTATTTTGGAATCCGTATTTTGGAATATTATGAGACTATTTTAACTTTTAAAATGTTTAGGAAGTATTATCATTAGTTGATTATAATGAAATAATTACCTTTTATTTAAATTTTGTATACAATTATATATTTATTATTATTATATTATTATTATTATTATTTTATTGACCGGTTTTATGACGTTGTCCGGGTTGACTAGACCGGGTTCAAGTTGACCCGTGAACCGGACACGCGGCTGGATCGCTTCCCGGTCCGGTTTCTTAAACATAGGTTTGGACGTTAGACAATGAAAACGTACAATTATTATAACTCAAATCGGTAATTTGTTGGATTTAAAAAAATGTAAGGCTGAACTATGAGTCTATGACCTAACTACTTATAGGATAATAGTAATTTACTTGTAAGTTTCATATATACTACCTCCGTCCCATTAGAAGGTTCTCATCTACTATTCTCATGGTCAACTTAAATAATTTTTAATCCTTTACTTTATAAATCAAATTTTTATCAAATTTACATTTTCTGTAAGGCTTTGTAGCAGTTTTAATGTAGTTTTTGAATATGTTAGTTTTATTTACTAAAAATAATCAGAGTGTGAGCAGGGATTACGTTGCTTTATCGTCACTCAAGCATCGTAAACCGTTCACGGGACCTTCTAGCGGGACGGAGGGAGTATATATACACACACCACAGTAGCACACATACACTGATACACATGTGTATTCACTTTGTATTATTATGCTGCACGCAAAAAACGTATGGCGTGTTGCCCAACAAACTGTGGTGTGTGGATATTGGATAACATTCAAATATTCAATCATTCAACAAGTTGTAGCGCATGGATAAAGTTAATTAGAGTACAGGGAAGCAGGACAGGAAACTTCGTCGATAAAGATACAAACCAATAAATTAAAGACACAAACCAATATACTTGTATGTTTGATAAAGACACAAACCAATATGGCTGCTCGGGGGAGGAGCAACAATGATGGTTCCTTCGTTAATGCAAGTTTTTGAAGGTTTTAAAAGCCAAGATGAACCTTCTTAGGTCTGATACATGGTTAGTAATCCGACTTGCTCCTTTAACCACCACAAAGTTGTATAAAAGAAATATTGTATGGTTCATATTCATATATATAGGAGAAATATGGAATTCATAATTTAAAAAAAATGAAATTGAGACAATTTTATCATCATTATCGTCGTTAATACCTCTGTGCCGCAAAGACGAATTTGGATCCTCTCCATTAACTGGAGAGTTCCATTATGAGAGAGATAGAGAGGAGAAAATGAAGGGTGAGGTGGTATGTTGGTGAATATGATAGAGAAAAAGGTAGAGATAGATAGGAAGTAAAAAGGAAATGGAGGGAAAATTGAGAGAAAGAAATGTAGAGAAGCTGCACCCCGCAAGGACTCCCTCACCTACGGTGGTGTAATGGTGGGTCAGGATAAGGGGGGTTGAATGTACACAACCTTACGCTTGTGCGGTTGTGCCAAAGCACATAGAAAATCGTGTCGAAAATTATATGAACTGATTGTTACTTCATAACAAAAAAGCATAGACAGTTCCTTAATAATAACTTCTTAATAGCAACCTTAGTGAGTTATTTTGCTTTATATCATCATATTTCCGAGTCAAAAATATCTTTGGCTCCAATGCAAATGATGGATAAAATGGGGACAAATTTATGATAAAATAAAAAAGCAAGTGTGTAAAAACACTAGAGACGATAGTATCATAATAGTAACTTTTTAAGGTCAACAGAACTGATGTAGTTGTACGACTTTATTAATAAGCACAAAGATTATAGAATTACACAGATTGTAACAAGAATATCACAATACAAACATGTGTTCTTTATTCTTGTTTTGCATAAAAATGATTGTAATTACATTCATATAAAGAGCACCAACGTTGAAGAGAAAAATGCATAAGTTATTCAATATAAATTAAGAAAACAAAGCATACCAGATGAACACAAATAGGAACTAAACCAGCTGTCATTCATTCTGCCAAGATCACTTCATCCAAGGTAGCAATATGAATTACGAAACTACTTTGATGCATTCAGATGTCAGCATATATGATTTTATGGAAGTGCTTGTGAATTCAATCCTAATGCCTTTTTTATTTCTTCCTGAAAGAAGAATGCCAGCAACAAGTTTAAAGATTGTTTAGACAATAAAATTGAAGATAAACTTGAGATATTAGCTGGTGGTGGATCCAGAAACTTGGATTGAAAATGTCAATTATACTAGGCAATAGTAAGTGGGTTAAATTGAAAAGAATGAAAGAATTTGCACTAAGAAAATTAAGAAAAAATCAAGGTGACTGAGCTTCAGCCTGCCATAGCCCTTGCACTTTAGGATGGCTTTTGCTACGTGATCCGACATTACCTCACTAACGTGAGAAAGGTAATGAAAAATTACCTTGTTTGGTTCAAGTAAAGGTAGTGGACTGGTATTGCCAGCAATTGGGAAAATGAGGTATACTACAAGGACTATTAGGATTTTGTCACCAACAACTTGACAAGATAAGTAACAGCACGTTACATGTACCAAACAACTTAGGAGGTGTTTTGGTCAAATTATCTAAAATTTATCAGCAAATGTTAGGTAAAGTCTGGATTACCTCATTTGATTTTGTAAGATAGCATTGTTTGATTCAAAATTTAAGATTAGCGAGTAATATTAAATTACACCGACATAAGAAATTGAGGCAATACTAACAGTACACATAAGAAAATGAGGTAATACTCCCTTGGGGTTTTAGGTCATGTAACCTTACCTTGGTAATGTTCTACTGCTCTTAAGTCATGTATTCTTACATATTTTTATTATTCCAGCAAAACACATCCAGTGACCATAAATTCTTATAATCTGACATTGCATTGATAACCTTACATTCCCGTAAGATCACATTACAACAAAAAAATCAAAGTCTTAGTTCCTGTTGATTTAGGAAGAGAAACTTTTTGTATTACACATATTAGATCATACATTATGACTCCCATATATATAGGGAAGTAAATGATACATTAAAGGACAAAAGAAAACTGAAAGTCATAAAGGAAAATGAAAAGTTAAGCTGCTGGAAAGTCTGGAATATAAAAAGGCTTATGCTTTAAATGCTATTTCCAACACTCCCCTCAAGCTGGAGCATATATATCATGGGCTCCAAGCTTGCTACATATATAATCTATTCTTGGTCTTCAAAGAGACTTAGTGAGCACATCTGCCAATTGATCCTTTGAATTCACAAAAGTGGTGATGATGTCTCCAGATTTGATCTTGTCTCTAACGAAATGACAGTCCACTTCTATATGTTTGGTTCTTTCATGAAAAACTGGATTCGTTGCAATGTGTAGGGCTGCTTGGTTATCACATATCAACCTCATGGGTCTGAATTTGCAGAAATTGAGTTCGGAAAGAAGATTCTTAACCCAAATTAGCTCACATGATCCAAGAGCCATCGCACGATATTCGGCTTCTGCACTTGATCGTGCCACCACATCTTGTTTCTTACTCTTCCCAGAGATCAAGTTTCCACACAAAAGTATACAATAACCTGTGGTGGATCTTCGATCCCATGGGCAGCTAGCCCAATCTGCGTCAGTATAGCCCACAATTTCTGTGTGTCCGTGATTCTGGTATAACAACCCTGTACCTGGTGCTTGTTTAATGTATCTTAAGATGCGAGTAACAGCATTCCAGTGGCTCTCACACGGTGATTGTAAAAACTGACTTGCAGCACTTACAACAAATGAGATGTCAGGACGTGTAATAGTGAGGTAAAGAAGTTTTCCAACAAGTCTTCTATATCTACCAGGATTTAATAAAGGCCCCCCCTGTCCCGGTAGAAGCTTGTCATTAGGATCCATCAGCGTATCAATTGGCTTACAGTTTGTCATACCAGCTTCTTCAAGAATATCTAAAGCATACTTTCTTTGTGATATGTACACACTTTGTTTTGACTGTGCAACTTCAATACCAAGAAAGTATCTCAATTTGCCGAGATCTTTTGTTTCAAAATGCTGAAATAAATGCTTCTTAAGAAGATTTATTCCCTCTACGTCATCACCCGTGATCACAATATCATCCACGTAAACCACAAGATAGATAAGACCTTTTTGGATTCTGTAAAATACAGAATGGTCAACTTTACTTTGAATCATGTTAAATGTTTGTGCCACTTCACTGAACCGTCCAAACCAAGCACGGGGGGGGGGGGGGGGGGGGGGGGGGGGGGGACTACTTCAACCCATACAATGAGCGTTTGAGGCGGCAAACTAGATCAGCTCCCCCAGAAGCAATGAATCCCGGAGGTTGTTCCATATAAACCTCCTCCTTTAGATTTCCATGCAGGAATGCAATTTTTATATTCAATTGATGTAACGGCCACTGTCGTATTGCTGAAATAGCCAGTAAAGTGCGAACTGGTGCTATTTTGAAACAGGGGAGAATGTATCAGTATAGTCCATTCCAAACACTTGTGTGTATCCTTTGGCTACAAGCCCTAGCTTTTAGCCAGTCTATCATGCCAGTAGGACCAACCTTGACTGTGTATAACCATCTGCAGCCGACCACAGGTTTATTTGGTGGTAGAGGCACAAGTTCCCATGTCCCTGACGAGTGAAGGGCTTCCATTTCATCAAGCATGGCCTTTTTCCAACCTGGATGACTCAATGCTTCCTTGACACTTTTAGGAACAGAAATAGAAGAGAGACCAGTGATGTCAATCGCGCGCTATAGCGGCGCTATAGCGGTGGAGCAGAGCGGAGGAGATGTCTGGCGCTACTAGACCTCCTGTAGCGGAGCGTTTGGGTGTAGCGGACTTCGCGGGCGCTATACAGGTAGAGGCGGACGCTATAGCGCCGCTTCTTGCGATCGAATGTCTGTTAGGGTTTTTTCTGCGTTTATTTTTTGATTGCGGAAGGACAGGGTAAAGTAGACTTTCAACACTGACTAGTAACCAACTTAAACCTTGTACACGTATGCAGAAGTTTAGAAACCCTTAAAACGGCTGCATGTTTTAATAATACGGAGTAAAAACAATAATCTTTATGCCTTCTCTTCTCTCTGCTCTGCGATGACCTCTGCTTCAACAAATTTTTCTGCTTCATCTTTTTCAAGAACGATCTGTGCTCCATCTTGTACAAGAATGACTCATGCTACACTCCTCTTTGTTTCTTTCCAGTTGTAGACTGATACACTTAATTTATCAAGGCTTAAACCAGGAACTTGTTTTTGATTCAATGTTTTCACTTAGATGTTTTAATCATTAAAAGTATGTTTTGCTCATGAAACTATGGAATATTTCCCTGTAATTTAGGATTTAAGAATTTTAAGATGTTTGCAACTTTAAATGGCATATATCACACTTTACTAATGTGTATGTAATGTAATTATATGTTTCTAGTTAATTGTGTATTATACTTAAAAGTAGTCTGAATAGCGGTCATCCCGCTATCCACTATACCGCTATAGCGTTTTCAAGGCTGGCCGTTTCGCTCCGCTATCTGGGATTGACAACACTGAGAGAGACGTGTAATAAAGGCACAATATGATGGTGACAAATGATTGTATGAGAGGAAGTTATAGATAGGATAAGGATTTCGAGGGGATCTTTTACCAATTCTGCTGGCAATAGGAAGATCATTAGTTATCTCTTGGGCTGACTCTTGAGGTGACGATGGCTCTGCACATAAATCACTTGGATTACTATCTTCTTTTTCTGTTGGATGATGGTAAGGCTTACTCGAACGATGTCGACGGTGATAGGTATAAGGGAACTCAATAATATGGTTCTCTAGAATGTCACTGGGAGTTCCTTTTTCAGGGGTGGCCAGGGATGCAGGTTCAGGTTCATGAAAGTATGGGACAGGCAGAACGGGTTCATGTTCTTTGAAAGGCTGCATAGGTACAATTTCTGTAGACTCATCAGTAAAGTTTGATTTGTCAAGGGAAGAAGAATGAGAGAAATATGGAGTAGACTCAAAGAAAGTGACATCAAAAGATGTATACATACGCTTTGACGTAAGACAGTAACATCGAAAGCCCTTTTGAAGACGAGAGTATCCCAAGAACACACATTTGATAGCTTTAGGAGAGAGTTTATCCCTTCCCGGAGTGATATCACGAACAAAGCAAGTGCACCCAAACACCTTTAAAGGTAATTTGTGCAAAGGTTCATCAGGGAAGAAAATATTGTAAGGAGTCTTTCCTTGTAGTATATCAGAAGGCATGCGGTTTATGAGATAACAAGAGTGAAGAATGGCTTCCCCCCAAAGGTATTTAGGTACCTTGTAATGAATAAGCATGGTTCGGGCAGTTTCCACAAGGTGTCGATTCTTCTGTTCAGCCACTCCATTTTGTTGAGGAGTGTCTGGACAGGAAGATTCATGAAAGACCCCATTGTAAGTTGTAACACCCCCAAATTTCCCACCTGAAACATTGATATAATTGAAAGGAATTCTTTATTCATTCATCAAAGAGTTGAAGAAATACAGCGAAAGTCTAAAAGGGAAATAGGCGTTACCGCCACATCCGGTCATCTCTTAAGCGAATGCACAGGCAAACCAAAACAAAACAATAAAACTAATGAAATAGTAAATAAATGTTTATTTCATGACTAAATTTAACTAAGGCATCTTCTAATTCGCACTCAAGCTCGAGCAATCCATCAATCCACATAGGCATCCAACTCATCACCTGATAAAATTTAAGGGAGAAGAGAGAGACAAGAGAAATAACAAAAATTAGCTTTAGAGCTAAGTAAGTACTACCCAACCCCGTAAAATAATCAGGTTTGGTGAAAATAGATTTTTATATAATACTATATAAAAATAACACACTCCATCAAAATCTTTTTCACTTTGATTTTTCTCAAAACCACTTCTTTACTAAAACCCTCAACTTCTCTTCAAAAATCTTATAGTAACTCTTCTCTTTGAACTTCTCAAAAAAAATCTTCTTCTCTAACTTCCTAGTAATTTAGAAGGGCGGTGCTCAACCTTTCAACTGAGCCCGGTGGACCGTGGTTACGGACGGCCACCCCGAACAAGTGCCGGTACCACAACTGCTCTTGCGGAAACGAAACGACTACCTTAAGTGTGCACACCCCCTAAAAGGGATTCCAAGCCCTCCGAGTAGTAAGTCATCCCGAGTGGTCGGAACCCAACCAACCCACCTCTAAAATTCTTGAATGATGAGGGACTACTAGTATAACTTCTTCTTAAAAGGGATCATAGATCCAAATGTCACTTGAAACTTAAACTGTACTTCTTAGTAGTAGTAGCTCTAATCACCCTCCACATTTATCCGGATGTGGAAAAACCGACACCTCGGATTACTCCCGAGATGCCCACTTCTTATGAAAATGTAAATTTTATCTTCAATTAAATAATACTTCAAAAATACTTCTCAATTTCTCTAAAAAGTCTCGAAGGTATTTAAAAATATTTAATACCCCAAAAGTACTTAATTTATATTTCTCAACTACCATATATATAATATCTCCTCAAAATCACATACACAAAATTCACAATTCACACTTAATCACATAATGTATAATAAGCATATAATACGAGGAAACAATTTTGGATTGGCAGAGAAACTTACCTCAAATCCAATGCTCCTAATTCTCTTCCTCTACTCCGGTCTCTAAATAATCACTTTTTTAATTAAGATGATATAATTAGTCACTTATTCTATTCTTAATAATTTAACTGATTTCCCCTCATTCTACTATTCGAATTTTAAGATTAATCATTTACTCAAATTTAAAAATATGCATTAATTAATCACTAATCTGTTTTATTAACCTCCACCGTATTTTAGAAACATCAAATGAATGTATTTTTGTCACTTAGTCCGGTAAAAACCTTCATTTATTCTTTTGATTAGATAATCAGCCAATTAATTTGCTATTTATTTTAAAAAGTGACCATTTCCAATAAAAGTGAATAATATCAAATAAAATTTCCATAATTCAAAATTAATGCTTTCATTATTATCAATTTAATTCCGTATTTAGTTCATTATTACAATCAATCGGCTCAATACCCGTCCGTCTTCTTCACGCTGAAACGCCGGGCCGGGAAGGAAGAAAACGGAAGGAAGGAAAAACGCAGGGCAAAGGTTACTTACCTACAGGCTACAACGATGACGTTAGGGAGGCGTGGCGACAACATCTGTCTGCTACGGTGGTGACGGCGACGTTCCGGGGAAGAGCAGGTCCTTGGATCACCTGGGTGCGTTTCTGCGCGCAGCATAGCTTCTTCGGCGTTGTATTCCACAGGCTACTGTCTCCGGCGACTGCGTGTGGTTGGCCCTCTCTGCGTCTTCTCCGGCCACGACTCCGGCATGGAAAACGACCAACAGAACTGAAAATTCTTCTCTTAATTACTCTTCCTTCTCTTTGACTTGCTTTCTCTCTTTTTCTTTTCTTTCTTCCCTCGTTTCTTTTCTCTCTTTGCAACGCATGTCTTCGTTCGTATGGTGCAGTGAAGGTCGTCGATCGAAGGGTATAAATACACCAGTAGAAAGGTTTTAGATTGTCATTCATACGTTAAGAATCTCACAGCTTTGTTTGACGGCAGGAGCTTCGTCCGGCAACGACGATTTAGCTCCGGCGTAACCAGTCCGGCGCTCCCTCTCCTCCGGAGAGGAAACGGCTAGGCAGCCCTGGAGTGAGACTTAATTAGGCGTTCACCTCTTCCTTCGGCGACGTCCAGCTTCTTTTTCTCTCTCGCCAACCTCCCTTCTCTCTTCTTCCTCTCTTTCTTTCTTTTGTAGGTTTATGCGGCGTACGTTGAGTCGCAAGGTCTCTATTTATAGGTGGCATCATAGATTCTACCCTCTTAGTAAATTAATAAATAAATTTTAATGACTTTCCTTTGCCAAAGAGATATACTTGCCATGCATTATACTACAAAAGTTACGGAGTATTATGTTTAGCTATAAAAACCGCCGTCAGGTCTCCTTACAACAACTGTTTCTGAATGTAGACTCCTTTGATGCGTAGTAGTTTTGTTAGTCATGTACGTACATTATTATTATTACTATCCTTACTTATTACTTCCTGATCACATAAGTTACGATCCTCTTAATTTAGTTTACTTATATACTACCTCCGTTTTTACGTACTCAAATAATAATATGTACATAAAACCACTTACGTAGACTAATAGTAATAATATTACTATTAATATTACGGTATGCATTTACTAACTAATATGTATTTGATATTTTTTATAGTATTTAGTGTATGATAAATTGGTAAGATATATTGTAACACCCCGGGGCCCCACACGGACCCGAGGTAGATACTGTAGATCTCTAGTACTGTCCCCACAAACTACCACGAGCCTTTACCGTGCACTTTGTCCTCACTCATGCGCGCCCTGAGAAACTTCCCGGGGGGTCACCCATCCCAAGACTACTCTCGTGCAAGCACGCTTAACTTTGGAGTTCTTGGGTGATGAGCTCCCTTAAAAGGAGATGCACCTCTGTTGGTATGAGTAGTACTATTAATCCTCTTAAATTAATATCGCGTATTACATATATGTTACTTTTAATATCTCCGTCATATGTGTAACCGTTACCTGTTACAAAAACGTCACTTTCATTATTATCATAAAAATGTCACTTCTATTATTGAAACATTTATTTTTATTAGTTTAAAAAGAATGTTAAAATTTTGTTTGATTCACTAAATAACTAAAATTTCATTTCCATAACATTTTATCTGACTAATAAGTTTATTATAATTTTTTTTTGTTTTTTTTTTAATTTTTTTTTTGGAGTGTCACATTGACTATCCAGAAATTTAGAGAAGGATTCGGAAAAATACTCCTTGGCATTGTCACTACGAATGGTTTTTATCACCACCCCAAACTGAGTTTTTATTTCATTGACAAATTTTTGAGATATACTGAAAAGTTCAGACCGATCTTTCATTAAATAGATCCAAGTACAACGAGATAAGTCATCCAATAAATGTAACAAAGTACTGAAATCCAAAGATAGACTTAACTCGACTCGGTCCCCATACATCAGTATGAATTAGAGAAAAGGGAGCAACTGCTCGTTTATTTATCCTATTTTTGTAGGAAGCTTTAGATTGCTTTCCTAACTGACATGACTCACACTCGATTGATGAAACATTAGACATTGTAGGAACAAGTTGACGAAGCTTATTTAGGCTAGGATGACCAAATTGACTATGAAGAAGCAATGGTGTGGTAGTGGTGGCAGTGCAAACAATATTGGTGTTGGCTAGATGATATAACCCTTGTGATTCATATCATGTGCCAATCGTCTTCCTCAATTGTCGGTCCTGCACAGTCACAGATTTATTGGAATATATAATTTCACAATTAAGATGTGAAGTGAGTTTATGGACAGAGATCAAGTTGAAGGGGCAATTAGGAATATACAATACATAGGATAATGAGAGAGAAGGGAGTGGAGAGGCATTTCCAATTCCTATAGCTTTACCTATTGACCCATCACCAAAGGTAACAGGTGGAAGAGAATTGGAAAATGTCAAGCATGTAAAAAGTGAAGGATTACCAGAAATGTGATTGGTAGCACCTGAGTCAAAAATCCAAACATGATTGGACTAAGAGGGCAAGGAAACATGAGTTTTGTCATGTGTAATTGAGGTTCGAGCAGCCTTTAACTGCTGGAATTCTTCATACTCAGACCATACTCAAGGCTCTGATACCATATTGATTTAGGAAGAGAAGCTTTTTGTATTACACATATTAGATCATACATTATGACTCCCATATATATAGGGAAGTAAATGATACATTAAAGGACAAAAGAAAACTGAAAGTCATAAAGGAAAATGAAAAGTTAAGCTGCTAGAAAGTCTGGAATATTAAAAGACATATGCTTTAAATGCTATTTCCAACAGTTCCAAAAAATTTTGGGGTCGGCTAATATGAATCGTTAGTTCGTTTCATGATCTTGGAGTCAAAAAGAAGAGAAAGATAAGAAGAGAAGGTAAGATAGAAAGGATAATATAAAAATAACTACATAATAAGAATAAGATAACGATAAAAATGACAAGATAAAAAGGATAAGAAGAATATATATAAAATAAAAAGGAAAAGGGATAAATATCCCGTAATATCACATTATCTTTCTTAATTTAATCAAATCATGTCATTAGTTATGATGACCATACCTTTTGTGAACGAAACACCTCTGGTAATCTTACATCCTCATAATTTCACATTAGCTAGGAGGAGGGGGGAAAGCATATTCTTAAGGGTTTCTTAAATTCTGTGAGCTAAAGAACCTCTAGGAGATTTCAGAATGAAGAACTTACAGGAAGCAAATGAAAAGGGAGATTACCTCAAGGGCTAAGGGCTGAGTAGTGGTTCCATAATGCCCAATGACATTCCCTTCTTTGTCAACTAAAAACTTGGTGAAGTTCAACTTAATGCTAGAACCAAAAAAGCCACTTGTATTTGCTTTAAGGAACTTGTAGACAGGTGCTGCATCTGAACCATTAACTTTCACCTGTCAAGAATAATAGAAGTATATTAAATAATTGTGATAGTGTATTAAAGGGTCCTGGGCCAGGTATTAGTTAGTTTTGGGCTGGCCCATAAGTAAGTATAAATAGAAGGGAGGGAGAAATAAGAAGGTAGGCAGATTTTGGATTTGGGATTAGGACTGGGAGAGACGAGGCACTCTCGAACTTGCCTCAACTGTATTGTTACTTCCTGTTTCTTCAATTTCAGTTTTCATATTTCAACAAATTCATCATCAGATTTCTGAGTTCCTATCAGTGGTATCAGAGCAGTTCTCCTGGGGATCGGATTGAAGTGGCGACTTATCATCTGTAGCGATCTAGATTATTAACTTCCTAGAGCTATGGAAGAAGTCTGGACACCATAAATGGAGGCTTGCATGGATAAGTTGGAACAGGAAATGAAAGCAGCTTTTGCAAACCTCTTGACAACGATGAGTGAACAGATTCAGAACAGCGTCGCGACTTCTATGGCAGCGATTTCAGCTTCTGTCGCCGCGAAGAAGGAACCAAGGGGAAGATCACGATCATCGCATCGTCCGGCTTCTAAGTATTCCCGTGCATCGCGAAGTGCGCAGGTTCCGTCGCGAGCAACTTCTCACAGTTCACAATCGCAAGTCTCAACTCAATCGCCAGCATCTTCTTCCAGTTCTCCAGCTTCACCGCAAACAGAAATCTCCAGGTCGCCATTTCTAGCCGTTCGCCACCAGTCGTCATCGCGAGAAGATCTTCGCAGTTCGCAGTCGCCATGTTTGCAACTAACAGATTCGCTGAGTTTGCAGGTTTCATCTCAGCTGCCACCCTCTTCTCCCAGTATGCGAGCATCATCACTAACAGGATATTCCAGTTCACCGGTCCCCTTGCACTCCACAGCTTACTGTTCGCAGGTTCTGACACCAACTTCTTCTCACTATGTGGAACCTCAATCGTTCCATCTGGAATCTTTTATTCAGCTGCAACCTCCCTCATAAGGCATTAATTCTTCGCGTCACAGGGAACATATAAAAGATAGAGTTCAATTGGTCCCTAACAGTGCTGAGGATGTTCTGAGGGTCGCCAATCTAGGGCAAAATTCTGCTAGAGAAGCTGGTAATTCTTCTCTGGAGACCAAGCTGCTGTTCGTGGGTGTTATGGGTGACCCTGACAAAAATGAAGTTACTGTCAATCATAGGCAACTGGTAGATCAGGTAAAAGTCATAGATTCAACACAGAGGAGGATTCAAGCACTGGAGTGGAATTCAGATCTTGCTGGGATGACTGTTGGGCCTGATGTTTTTGTCTCTCCAACTGGGCTCAATCCTTTAATGCATCAACACTTATCTTCCATATTAAAAGGGGAGTCATACATACCCACATTCTCTTCTATCTATGGCATTCATTACACTTTTAGGGAGATGAACGATGATGATATTCAACCCACAGGACGTCCACCAGATAATCTGGAAAGGGCAGAAAATGTTGAGGCCGATGCCAGCTCACTTTCAAAGCCTGCTTTGCTTGAAGAGATAGTTGCTGAAGCTGCAGAGGAAACTCAGAAAGTAGCAGAGAGGAACATTATGAAGAAGTATGCATTTTTGGTTTACTGGAAGAAATATGTAGATCACGAGGCACACATGGGTTTGATGGATAAAACTGTTGAGGTACACGAGTGAGCAAATCAAGGAGGGATATATTCTGTAGGCGGGTGGTTGCATTACTGTGTATTTGCTGTAAATATATATGGAGATCCTGACACAAGTAGTGGACTGTTTAAAGGTAGATTTGCACCTGAAGTTCCTCAATATCCTACTTTGGAGGTTTATTCTGTTGCTGCAAGAGCCCTGGGTTCTTTTATATGGGGAATGAGAGAAGAAAACTTCTCAGACTCGGTGCTTTGGTCGTTAGATACTCTGAAATCTGATGGCAGCAACATTGAGAGTTGTGGAGTTGCACAGGGCCTGAGCGAGTGGATGCATATGTTGTAACGCCCTAAAAACTAGCCTAGTTGTTTAATACATACTAATAAACTTTCAATTACTAATTAATCTGTTCTTATTAGTACTAATAGAGAAATCAAATTTAATCAGACGTTGACAATAAAAAAAATAATAATGATAAAATGGTATATCAATAAATGGTATTATTAGTACTAAGAGTTTTATAAAATTTACAAAACACATGTATTAATACATTTCAGTAAATCTTTGAAGCCATTAAATTATAGTTCTAAGACCATCAAATTCCATAATTATATGACATGACCATAGATTTTCACGTGAAGGCTAGAGTAGCACTCTTTCATATACATGTAACATTAGTATTAGAAGCTTAGGTGTTTAGATATTTTCTCCTAGAAGCAGAGTGGCGGTAGTGGTACTGTACATATTTCCTAAGTCAACTAATTGATACTCTAATGTGCAGCCACGTACAGCCTTGGTTCAATATCATTGAACACATGGTTTAATAAGACAAATTGTCAATTGAACACTTGGTGTAATAAGGCAATTGCTGGCTGCAGAGTTGGGCCATAAGAATTGATCGATTATGATTAATTTAGATTAGAAAATGCTTTTTATTGATTGGCTTAATTGGAGGTGACATTGGATAATTTAATTTTAGATTAAAATATTTTCATTGATTGGCCAAGTTGGAGGTGATATTTGGAGTTAGCTTGGATTTAAATAAAAAGATAGCCTCTCACCCTCCGATCCACACTATATCACTCAATCTAGCTAACCTTTGAATGGAGTAAGAAAATCCACCCAAATAAACTAGCTGCATGCAACGAGATGGATGTAGCCCGCATAGGAGAGTCTCATGCCAATAAATTTTAGAAGAAGTTATCTATAAGGTTAGTATGTTTCCGCCCCATTTTAGTATAATGTCCGTCCCCGTTTCTTGTTATGTTATGGGGATGATGAATACCATTTAGCCTTAAATATGCTTTGTGTGCTCTAAAAATGTGTTCATTATATTTAAGAGAATTATTAATTATAGGCACAAATATTTGTGGTAGTAATTGCCTTTTTAGGAATACCAATGTCAAATAGAAATAAAGTTAGCTGTGAATTTAAGAAGCAAAATAAAATTAGAATTAGTGATTAGATTGAAAAAAAAATTATAACACGTAAGTATAGAAAAGTATAGTAAATAAAATACTTGTGATTAAATTAGTAATAAGAATATTTGGATATGTAAGTATATGGAAGTATTTAGGGTTAAAGGATTACATGGTTATACACCAAGCTCTTAAGAACATGCACTTGTATTAAATGTATCTACTTATTATATGAGCTAACACTGGAGTCTCAAAAATGATTTTTACACGCATGCACATACTTATTAATACACGTATGTTGTTATGCATACATAATAAAAGTGGATTATACATGCATGCTAACATACATATAGGGCATGCATTCCTGGGTGTATGTTTATATATAGACATAGATATAAGGTGGATATTATTAATGTATATTTGCACATAATACACATGCATTAATTAACTAAAATAAAACACACACGTCATTATTTACTATAGCAAAACTACCGTAGTGACATGCATGGGATACAGTAGAGACCGAGCTTAATTAGCTGAAAAATAAGGAAAATCAAAATGAATTAAGTAAACTCACTAAGTTAAATGTGTAAGTCGTTTTATATATGTACGGTTGTGATATATTTTAAAATTAAGTAATTCCATTTTTATTCAGATAGTAAATTAGTAATACGGAGTAAGCTAAGACATATATGCATCAAATAAGTAAGATTACAATTTTTAAATGCTAGCAATACATCCTGCATGTGAGAGAGTATAATATATGACCATGCATGACGTGCACTAAAGTTAAACGTGTCTTACGTATGCATTGGCGTTTATATAATTTTATTAATTAAGATTTTTAACAGGTGGTGCTACAACATACCAAATCGACATATCTATATGTTTAGAACTTAATTTACGTACTAAATGTTTAGATGTATGCACTAGCTAACGGATGGCTTAAAAGGTTCGAATGGTCGGAGTGTCAGACTGTATATTTTAATTAGTTATTTAACGAAGGTTTGCTATGTAAAGTTTAAATATGACATCGTGAACTCTCAACTAGATTAAGGGAATATTATTTTTTTAAAAGCCTTGCTCTTGGTTCGACACTCTGACTTGAATACTCCTGTTCTGTTTAGTGTACTATGTACACTCCTGAAATTCTGTTTAGAGGAACTAGTGCTCTCCTGTTTAGTGTACTCCGTACACTCCTGAAATATTTTTTTGAGCACTATTACTCTCCTGTTAAGGTTCGGGTCTCTTCGGTGATCTCGTCCTTTCTATTCAGCTAGCTTCTGTTAGGGATTGGTACGTCTAGCTCCGGCGATTACGTTTCCATATCCTTTCTGGGTAAAGTGGGTACGGACTTCGTGACCGTATTCCTTACCGTTAGTATTCCTCGGTCTAGGTCCAGATCCTTGAGTTCAAGGCTAAATGAATATGTTCTTATTATGATAAGTTTCAGAATAAGAATTTTCTGATAATTATGATATCTGAATATGTTTCTATCTGTACAAAACAATAAAAATAAATAATAATAATTATAATAATAATAATAATAATAATCATAATAATAATTTCAGAAGAAAAATATTTTGATAATTATGATATTTGAATATGTTTCTGTTATGTATATAAATATCTGTATTCTTACAGCAGCTGCTCGGATCACCCAGGTATGTTATATACTTGTGTGACTAGATGCTAATTTTGACATGTTTATATGTGCCCTGATATGTTAATATTATTGTTATTGTTATTACCGTACCACTCAGCACATTGCTGAGCGGGTAGTTGTTTGTTTTCCTACCCGTAGGTTAAGCACGGAATCCGCTAGGAGCACTGGGATGGAAGGAGGCGTAGGACTAGTGCATGTCATTGTGTGTGATGTTTTTAATCAGGACTTTTAAATGTCATCTTCAGTTTCTAAGAACTTCCGCTGCAGTTTTAAAAGTATTTTGT